TTAACACGCTTATATTAGCTTCACTTGTATGTTTGTAACTCTCCTTTGGACTCAAGTGGCTTATTACTGTCAGTATATCCCACTAAGTCAAGTTCGTTCGTGGCCGAGCGGTCTAACACGCGGGTTTTCGATTGTCAGACTCGCCGATCGTGGGTTCTAATCCCCACGGCTGAAAAAAACTAATTTTTTTTTTAATAATTAATCGAACTAAAAAGTAAAAAATAAATATAGTTTAAAAAAACTAAAAAACACGCTTTTATAATACATCGAACTAAAAAGTGAAAAATAAATATAGTTAAAAAAACTAAAATACACGCTTTTTGAGCATATTAAACTAAAAAGTTAAAAATAATTTTTCAAATAAGCTTAAAACAATAATAAATAGAAAATACTAGTATAATTGTGAAAAAAGCGTGGGGCGCTTTGTCCATATTTCTCGTACATCGAGCGCTTGACGCTTTTTTCACAATAATACTAGTATTTTCCATTTGTTATTATTTTAAGCTTATTTGAAAAATTATTTATAATTTTTTAGTTTGATATGCTCTAAAAGCGTGTTTTTTAGTTTTTTTAAACTATATTTATTATTAGTATTATTTACCTTAAACCTTCATACTTGTAAACGAATATATTACAAAATAACCAATAAAGTTTAAGTAACTGCATAAAATCTAAAATTGGCAAAATATCTAATTTTAAACACTATCTCTGCAGATATACGGATTCAATAATAGATTAGTTCCTCCGTCTAGCTTTAGGGATATTGTCACTAGGCATTTGTACAAAATTCCCATAGTGAAAACACCTTCAAGCTTTTATTTGCAATAATGCAGGTTCTTGGAAGTCCAGATGCTGAATGAATCATGTCATAGTCCCCTGATATATGCAACCCAATTCGCCCGTTGTATATAAGAGGTTCTTAGATTAGAGCAAGATCAACGTCTTGTTTTATCATACATCGTTGTAGGACAGCTGTTGCCGCCCAACTGTGATGTATATTTGCTTGGACTACCTTTATTTTTTTTTAAGGTAGCCCCTAGTTCTTGATGTAGGGTCGTCTTCCTCTTCCGGCACGTCAGCCGGGTCAGACAGCGGTGAATCCCCTAAAAGAGACCTCCTCGTCAGGGCTGCCACGAAGATATTTAAAAATGTACTAGAAAATTCAAGGAAAATGTACTAAATTGTACTAAATTTTAGGTGGACTGTCATTTGTCAACACTGTCACGTATATTGTCGGTTGTCATGTCAAATGTTGTCGAATGTCGAACGTCAACTGTAGAATGGATGGGCGTTGTTTGTTTTTATTGCTTATGTACTTTGAAAAATTGGAATTGAAATATACTACTGGAATATACCGATACGTTAATATGAATATAGTTTTGTTTTAAATTTTATTATTTTAATCAAGTTTTTATATGTTTATCAAGGTAGGTAAAAATAAATTGTACGATCATAAACCAGTCACTGACACCTGGATTTTGCGCAATAGAAAATTTGGCAGTCCCAATAATCTATTGCGCAGAATCCTGGAGTCGGTGACGGGTTTCTAAACGTTATTGAAATAGACCTTAATAAAAACCCCTTTTATTTAGGGAAAATACCGCCAATATTTACAATACTTACCCTTATATCGGAAAACTTATGCTTTCTATCATAGATGGTGCCACAAAGACGATCAGTATTTCAAATTGTACTAAATTTTCCTTGATTTAACTTAAAATGTACTTTTGTACTTTGCCGTGAGAAATGTACTAAATTTAGTACAATTGTACTGAAACGGCAGCCCTGCTCCTCGTCTTCACCTCACCTAGCTCACGTACTGTGGATCATGGAGGAAGGATTATTACTGTGAATTCCGAGTCCCCTATTTCCATTGGAGCCTCAGCCTCTTGTTCTGTAGCCCCACTTTCTTGTGGTTCTACGACCAAGGACTGATTCTCCTCTGGTATGTGTTCTCCTCCCTCAGTAGGCGATTTTTTACAACTCACTTTAATTTGTGTAAAATTCTACTATGGTCTGGAAATTATTCAAATTATAAATGTGTTCTAGTAATAATTATTCAAGATATTAGACAATGAACTCATTGTACCTACATTTGGCTAAAGTTCAATGGTTTATTTTTGTTAACATATGGAATTCCAAGATTACCTAACTGTTGATTTTTACTATATTGGCTATATTGACGGTCTTGAATTTTCAGTCATTTTAATTGTTTGGTTTAACCGTTGCTTATACAGGGTAGCAAAAAAGTCTGGCAAAGTATTTTCTTTGAAACGAATGAATGTATAAATTACGAAGTTGTAAGGTGATGAATGGGATTGTATTCTGTATTTTTTAGAGTTTTTTTAGAAGGCAACGTAGGTCAAGTGGTATATCCGGAAAAAAAACGTATTTTTCATGTTTTTAAGACTACTAAAAAAGTCATAGAAAAAAGTACATTACTAATGAGAAACTCTATAACATTGCAGTTCTACTTTTATTTTTCACTATTCTTGGTTTACCACTGGTAGATAGATAATCTGAAACTAAGGGGATGGGTGGCTCAGTGGTAGAGTCTCTGCCTGTGGATCCAAGGGCCCCAGGTTCGAATCCCACCATTGGCCGGGATTTTTTCATTTAATTTAATTATTTAAAATTAATTCTGATGCCTTGGTAGGATTCCTCACTCGGCCATTCACTGTTGGGTTCTAATTAACATTGCTGTTCCTAAAATGGCGCTGGGAAACAGTAACAATGCCTACACAGAACACGAGGCGAAATAACCTTAGCAGTTGAAGCCGATGACACATCAAAAAAAAAAAACTGAAACTAAAAACAGTAGGAAACTATCAGGAAATCATGGTAGTAGCAGGAATACCGTATAAAATATTTTGAATAAAATTAAGAATTACCCTTATACAATAATTCAAACCCACCACGAATTAGCAGAAGATAATTTTGATCGGAGGTTAGAGTTTTGTAAAATGGTTTTAGAAAAAATATTTGTATTCAGTGATGAAGCTACATTCTACGTGAACGGTACACAAAAAGTACCACATTAACTTGTTGAGAAACCATTTGATAGGTCCTTTTTCAGTGACGGCGCTCTTACTGGTGTAAAATATCTTGATCTTCTCCAGCACCAAATCGCACATCCAGTGCAACAACGTCATAAGTGCAAAAATATTAGAACGTGATTTTTTAGTCACAAAATACGCCTAATCTGCTTCTACATCTGGTACAGGAATATGGTTAATATAACATACAATAAATGAGCAATTATTCAATCATTTGACTTTTAATACATTTAAGTTTATAACGAGCAAAACTTTCAAATGGGTTTCTTGTAAAAAATTGATTTTTGCACTTACGACGTTGTTGCACTGGAAGTAGGAAATTATAACTGAAATAAACAATTTATATCCAAATGTAAACCTTTATTTTAAACAGGATGGCACACCTGCATGATATGATATAATCCCTAGACAATATTTGGTTCTCGTTTTCCCCCAGAAATGAATTGACCGAAGAGGTGCAATTGAGTAGCTGACAAAATCTCCCTACTTTACTTCACTCATTTTTTGCGCCGCTATCTAAAAGACCGCGCCTATGTAAAGAGACAAACTAATATAAATAAGTTAAAGGATCCATACGTCTTGAAACGCAGGCAATTTTTCCAGCAATGAACAACAATTCTATTCCGATCTTCCAAGATAGATTGTATTGTTACCGAAAAACAAATGGCCAACACTTTGAGCACTTGTGAAAAAAAAACTGCAATTTTTCTTTGTTTTATTTATTTCTTTTGTAAATTAATGTAACTTCAACAATTACATGTATTTATGTCTTTAGCAATTTTTGTTTATTATTAGTGCCTATTGTGGTACTTTTTAGTATTCTTGAAAAGAGGAAAAAATAAACTTATCTCTGATATATCACTCGGTACGCTAAACGCTGACGTCACAACAATTTGGCATGTAATCTAAAAAATGTAGATAACAATCCGATTCATCACCCTACAATTTTATAATAATACATTCATTCGTTTCAAAGGAAATACCTTGTTGTCAGACGCATTTTCGCTACCCTGTATGTATTCTTTCTTATAATTGAACTGCTGCCCCGAAATAAGTAAACAAAAAATAGATAAATCAATAGAATTTATCGACCTAGGTTAGTTGTTGTATGATTCATTTTAGCAATTAAGAGTAAAAGGGTTAATCTTGATGAATAGAATGATTTTTCTTTTAATTTTTTACTATTTTTTATTCTTTTAAAAAACCAAGAATGTTGGTTCATTTCTTTGTATATCTTCTGCTATGGTAAAAGCAGATAAATCAGTGGTCAAAGTACCATGCTTTAATCCTGATGTAATATTAGAATAGTCCGTGGCCATAAACTCAAAAATGAATTAGTTTCTTCCCTATTCCATAAACCTATACCTCAATAAAATCAAACCTGATCGAGTGAGGACCGCGGATGATATCCGCTTAGGTGATGATGGGGTCTCTTCCCCAACCCTTCATTTTTTACTGTGCTAGTGTCCATATCAAAATACTTCTGGAATTTTTTGTTGTTTAGTAGCCGTACTAAAGTTGACCTTGCAGTATTTAAAATAACATTCCTTAGAAAATTAAGGTCAAAACCTTTATTCAAGTTTTGAAACCTTTACAAAACAATGGCTAACGTATTTTATTGTACTCGTAATTCTGTTTAGATTAAAAAATACCGTACATGGTAGCAGACCTGGAATTTATTAAAATATTCCTAGAGCAGTGATGACGATCCTATGACACAAAGGTGACACGCCAAGACATTTTGGGTAAAGCTCATTACTGATCCTTATCTACGGTTACCGTTTGTCCGTTTACAAATGAAACACCCTGTATTGATTTAGGTATTCACCATATTCACAAATTATTCTTAAATAGTGAGATAAAAAGAACTTCTCATTTCCAATCCTATACTCACGTATGGTTTCGTCCATTATTATTAATAATAACTTTTTGTTTTTGTTGCAGATAAAAGGGTGATAGAATTAGACCTGTTTTTAATGTCATCTCCAATCAAGCCTGTCCTATTAATAGCTGCGTACTTCTATTTTATATATAACTTAGGACCTAGATTGATGAAAGATCGGAAGCCATTTGAACTAAAATGGGTTTTAAGGATATTTAATCTTTTCCAAATTTTATCAAATACATTTATTGTAGCAAGGGTAAGATATTAACAATTTCAATATTTCGCATGCTATTATTTAGAGTTAATCTAAAGTGACATTTTAACTGCTAATTTTTAAAAAGTTTCTTCTTAAATTAAATAAAGTTAAAACAATTAAATACCTATTAGTAATTTGTTTTTAAATTTTCTTACATATGTAGAGTTTACTATAAACTGGCAAAATATATATTTACAAAGGATTAGAAAAATAATAAAACTCCCAATTTTGGTATAAGGAATGTAAATTTGTTACCTGCCTAATTCAATGAAGATCTACTTGGCCATTTTAAATTGAACTAAAAAAGATATTTCATATAAACATAAACATTTATGAATTTTCACAGAAATAAATGCCAATATTTTAACCATAAAGACAATTTCATACAGCGTTTAAAAAAAGTTTTTTTCGCCATTTTGTAGAATTTTGCAGATTTGGCGGAATTCTTTATTCAGCATCCACGTTCCTAAAATAAAATACACTAACTGTTTAAACCCAGCATTATATCAAAAACACCTAAACACAACTAATACCTGGTAACCCATTACCAAAGGAGGCTGGCAGAAACTTTTTACTACACCCATGTGTAAATTATCCAGAGAGAAACCTGACAGACATGCTTTTGAAAGATTACTACAACAGTTTAAAGTTAGCGGAAACGTAGATTATAAAAAAATTATTCAGCCTCAACCTATTGTAGGAGATCATGATAATGAATTTTAGGATATTGGCTCACTAATAGAAAACCCACACACAAGTCATCGGGCTATTAGTAGAGAAACTGGAATAAGTAAGAGAAGTATTGAACGAATAATAAAAAAAACATTTCATCCTTATAAGATACAGCTGCACCAAGAACTGTATCAACGGGACTTTCAACAAAGAATCGATTTTTGTTTATAGGTTATGGATAAAGTAGAATCAGATGCGGATTTTTTGATAATGTTCTGTTTTCGGATGAATGCACGTTTCATAATAATGGACTCGTTAATCGCCATAACTTTCATTATTATAGTGATGAAAATCCTCACGTCTTTCGTACTCTCGATCATCAGCATAGGTGGTTATTTTGTACTGATTGAAATGATAATACCCGCGTATTAATATTTTTATTATAAAGGGTTGACGTTACAAAAAATATATCTTGACATGAATTGAATTAAGTCACAAAAAAAATGAATGCATAGAAACTAAACATTAACGACTATGAAGACTAGTCTTCATACTAACGACTATTTTATTATGCAGTATATAAAATGGTCTATTAAATATATAACAATTCTCCCCCTTGTAATTTCTGAGACATTCAATAGGTTAATCTTTGAATGGGATTACGGGTTCTAGTGGATCTCCTCAAAACCTCCGGTGGTTTGGACGGATGTGACGGTATTTGCTTTTCTTGGTTCTCTTGAAGACGTGGATCGGGGTTTTCTTTATTAATTGGTTCATATTCAAGGTCTCGAGTCAGGTCAGTTATTTCAGTCTGGCTAGTTTCTTTTCGATGGTCAACATTCGTCTCGTGATCTTTAGATTCCAAGGGTGCACTTAATTCGTTTGATACCACTGTATCATCAATATCATTATGCTCACTAGTGTTTGAAAAAATATTAGAATGGTAAACATTGCTGGGACGAAGTTGGTCATAATGACGTTTAATTTTATATCCATCATCTAGTTCCACTAGATAATGTAGTCGACCTAAAGGTTGAATTACTATGCCATACTTCCACTTAATGGGTGTTGAATAGTTTCTAGATTGTACCCGGTCACCTACATTGAAGGCTTTTTTTAAATCTATTAGTATACTGTTGTTTTCCTTTGATTTATGCCGTAGCAAATCTAATTTCGTCCTAATATTTCTTCCAAATAAATTTTCAGATGGTGACTTTCCTGATGATAATGGTGTAACCCGGTACCTAAACAATATTCTGCATAATTTTTCATGAAGATCTCCTGGTTCGTGCATCATTCGTATAAGTTTTGCCTTAAGTGTCTGACAGTATCTTTCTGCTTGCCCGTTTGTAGATGGATGGCCTGGTGCAATGAATCTCTGACTTATCCCATTTCTTATACAAAAATCTGCGAACTCTTTAGATTTGAATATTGAAGCATTGTCACTCACCAACATTTCAGGTAGACCCATACGACTAAAAATCTCTCTGAGATAATAAATAGTATTTTTGGTCGTTGGAGCACTTTTCATCATCATGATCTCTGGCCATTTAGATTTGGCGTCAACAACAATCAAAAAGTAGTGTCCTAAAAATGGACCTGCGTAATCCATGTGTACTCTTTGCCAGTTTCTTTCAGGACATTCCCAATGGTGTATGGGTAATTTTGTTGGATCTTTTTGAACGTTACTACATGCTAAACAACTTTTAACTAAATTTTCAATATCAGAGTCAATGTTTTTCCAATAACAATAGTTCCGGGCCAGTGCTTTCATCTTAACGATTCCTAAATGCGTAGAGTGTAGTTCTTGTAGAATAGATGGTTGCAAGCACTTTGGTATAATAACACGGTGACCTCTGAAAAGTATACCATCTTGTAGAGATAACTCAGGATCTCTTCTACTTCCTTGAAGTAATTCTTCTTTGAGTCTAGATAATTTAGGATCATGTTTTGTTTCTTCTATTATACGTTCAGCGGTTATAGTATCTGTACTTATTTTATAAAATAGATCAATATTTGTTAAATATACGCTATCGATATATTTTTCTTCTTCTGGAGTTAATTTTAAAGGGTTTCTTGAAAAATAATCTGCGTTTGAATGTTCTGATGACTTCCTACATTCGATGTCATAGTTGAATCCAGCTAAAAACTGCGCATAACGTAACATTCTAGTTGCTGATAAGGTTGGTAGTTGTCTTTGCGGATTTAAAATTGTAAAAAGTGGTTTATTGTCAACAATTAGCGTAAATTTACGTCCGTAGATATAATGAAATAGTCTTTTACAAGCCCAGTATATTGCAGTAGCTTCTTTGTCTAGCTGACTGTAATTCTGTTCGGCTTTAGTTAAAGATCTGGATATAAAAGCTATTGGCCTTTCTGTACCATCTTGGAATCGATGAGATAAAACTCCTGCCAATCCATATGGACTCGCATCTGTTGCCAAGATGACATTTAGGTCTGGATTAAATGGTATTAACACCCGATCTTAGCTTGAAGAAAGGCTTGTTCACAGGATTTATTCCATTTAAAGGAACATTTTTTCTGAGCAAGCGGTTTAAAGGATGAAGAACAGTTGAAGCATCTGGAATAAACTTAGAATAGTACATTATTAGTCCTAAAAACTGTTGAACTTCTTCTTGATTTTTGGGCCGGGGTGCATTCTGGACTGCTTGAATTTTATCGTTTGACTTCTGTAGGCCTCTACTAGATATAGTGTGACCCAAATATTCTATCTTTTTTTCGAAAAACTTACACTTATTTTTATTAAGGTGAAGGTTGTATTTGCGTAGTCTTTCCAATACCTTAATTAGTCGAAGTGTACATTGAGATATAGACGAACCCTGGACCAGTATGTCATCGAAATATAGGGTCGTTCCTTCTAAATCATGAAAAATCTGGTCTAATATTTTGTGAAATTCATTGGGTGCTGTTTTGATTCCAAAATATAATCTATTGGCTAAATAGGTACCTCGATGTGTTGACAGGGCTTGAATTTTTGAGCTTTCGTTATCAACTTGAATGTGTAAATAAGCTTTATAGATATCTAAGATACAGAAGTATACTCCATTTTCCATTTTATTGAAAATATCTTCTATTCTGGGTATAGGGTAGCGATTATCTTGAAGTTGACTATTAACAGTAACTTTATAGTCGGCACAAATTCGAACTTTACCATCTTTTTTAGGTATTATGACTAAAGGAGTACCCCACTCTGAATAATCAACTTTCGTAATTATACCTTATTGTTCCAAGGAATCAAGTTTTTTGTCAACTTCTTCCTGAAGTGCATAAGGTACTCTTCGAGGTTTTAAAAAGACTGGTTTAGCATCAGAACGAAGTTTTAGTGTACATTTGAAATTTGGAACAGCGCCAACTACTGGTTTAAAGATATCTTGAAATTGACTTAAAATATTTATGAGGGAAGGTGGTGTAGATGAGACTGATGAAATGCTATACAAATCTACTTCTAGTTCTCTTATCCATCTTCTTCCAATAATAGCAGTACCATAATTTGAAACGATGTACAGATCCGCCGTGATAGTTTTGTGATTATATGTAACTTGAACTCTGGCAAAGCCTATTGGCTTGAATAGATGTTGCGTATACGATCTAAAGTAAACTTCAGTTTTTTGAATGGGAATGTCCAATTGCAATCGATGATAATCTTTTTGAGAAATAATGCTGACAGGACTTCCCGTATCACATTCAAATTGGAAGGGTTTACCTTGAATATTTAATTCAATAAACATTTTTGGCTCAAACACAGATGCAGATCCAGAGAAAACGTCGATAATTTGATTAATTGAAAAATCTTCGGTATCAGGACTATCGGAATCGAAATCAATATTTTGAACAGACTGTCGGTATTTTAAAAGACTGGTTATACATACTTTATCGATGTGACCTTGTTTTTTGCAACTTTTGCATTGAAGTTTGTTTACTGAAAGGCACTTTGAAGTTATGTGATTTGTTTTACCACAGTGTAAGCATATTCCTGCTAGTCCTAATTTTTGTAAATTGACTGTGTCGGATCTGGTTTTATGTTTCTGGTTCGTAGAAGAAAGATTTGTTTTACTGGATCGAGTGCGTTCATTTTGTTGTGTATTAAGTTGATTGACTAAATTTGAAGTTGAAGGAATACTTCTATATAGTTCCCTGTTCTGAATTCTTGCAGTTTCGATTGATAATGCTATTTCTATGGCCTTTTCGAGGGAAACATTGACCAATTGAAGGATTCTTTCACGGATTGTTGTGTCGAGGAGACCTCTTATAAACTGAGCTCTTAGAAGCATGTCGATTACAGATTTAGTGCATTGAATACTGTTGCA